TAAGCCCGGTTTAACGGCCCTAATGAAGGGGATAAGGAGGGCGGCGGTGCCAGGGTGTGGGCTGCGTGTGCCCCCCCCAGTGGGACGGGGACGTGTCCCGGCCGGTGCCGACGCCACGCGGCGTGGGGACGCGTTGACCAGCGTGGCCCCTTGCACACGCACACGGGGAGGGGGGGAGGTGGTTTGCACAAGCCCACGAGCCGTGCAGGTGGGTGTGCAAGGCGTGTGCCGGGGCATGCGCCCCGTTGCACGCGCGGATTAGGGTGTGGGGCCCGTTGCACACGTGTGCGAGGGTCTGTGGACCATCGCACAAACGTGCAGGCATACGTGGACTATTGCACATGTGTGCAGGGGTGCGCAGCCCCCAGTTCTCCCCCCCCCCACCCGGCACAAGGGAAACCGAAACCTCCCCCCATATCAGACAGGCCCGTGGAACCCATAAAAGCAGCAAGTGGAGCCCGGTGTGTCCCGGTGCATGCCAGTGCTGCTCCTGGTACGTCCCGGTGCTGCTCCTGGTACGCCCCGGTGCCAGTGCATCCTTCTCCCGGTGCATCCCGGTGTCGGTGTCCGTCCCATCCTGCTGCCCCGGCCCTGCCATGTCCCAGCGGCTGCTGCTGCTGCTGCTGCTCCTGATGCGGACGGAGGCGGGTGAGTGGGGGGGGGTCTTGGGGCCTGGGGGGGGGCAGGGGTCCCAGTGCAGGACCTAGCAGAGCTGTAGGACCCCAGGTGGGGCCTTGAGGACCCTGATTAGGGCCATTGGACCCCCATTAGCACCATGGGACATTGATTAGTGCCCCAGGACCCCAGTGAGGGTGCTGGGACCCCAGTTAGGGCACTGGGAACCCAGTTAACACCATGGAATACAAGTTAGCTGCAGAGGACCCTGATGAGCGTGCTGGAACCCCAATTAGGGCCATGGCACCCCAGTTAGCTCCCCAGGACCCCAATTAGCACCATGGGACCCCGACGAGGGTGCTGGGACCCCAGTTAGGGTACCGGGACCCCAATTAGCACCATGGAACACCAGTTAGCATCCCAGAACCCCTATTAGCCCCCCAGGACCCCAATTAGCACCCCAGGACCCCAATGAGGGTGCTGAGACCCCGATGGGGTACTGGGGTCCCCGGTCAGGGCCAGGCTGAGGAGGGGCTGAGCCCTGACGAGCTCGTGGCATGTGTGTCTGCAGGCCCCAGGCGGGAGAAACTGGGGGGGACGGGAGGGGTCCCCCTGGAGGGGTCCCTGCTCCAGCCCCTCGACCACTTTGACCGCCTGGAGGGACGCAGCCTCAGCCAGGTAGGGGAGGCGG